TGTGCCGGACTGGAGTTGTGACAGGCAGCCTGGGCCACAGGCGGCTACGCTCTAACCCTTCTATTCATTCTAGCTAATCTGAATCATTCAATTCCATTTAGAGAGCGAGATCATCTGTGGTTGTAGCACTAGACATCTTCCAGGCATTTGAGTAAAACTAGCAGCAGTTCAGCGAACAGGATGAATGAACGGTAGCCGGCGGGCGCGGATGATTTCATACACAATCCGCTTTAGGAGTAAGGCAGGAACTGTTGAAACTGGCAAAATGAGGAGCCAAATGGTCAGATTTGTAAGGTCCCTCCTTGCCCAACATGACTTCATAAAATCAGAACTCTTTCCCGGATATGATATCAAAGGGGTGTTTTTTTTTTTTTTACAATTCATCACTATGGGAAAACTATAAAATGTTTGTGTTTTTCAGGAATTATCAAAAGCGGTTTGGGAACAGAAGACGCACTATGACCCTCAGCGAGTGGCAGGACCTGAATAAACCCCACTACAAACGATTTCTCAACGTCCCCAGAATCTTCCACAGAAGTCACTTCTGATTGTGCATGTGTTGATAAATAATCAGGCTGCATTTGCCCGACCCCTGTTAAATCTTTTTTGTGACGTGTTTTATTTATATATACATATATATATAGAGAGAGAGATGTAGAGATAGATATAGATATATATATATAATGTGTGTGTGTTTTCTTTGTTTTGTTGCATGTATTTGTGTGTTTTGACTTAAAAAGTTGCATGTTTTTGTTTTTTTTTCTTACCATTTTGCATGTAAACTTTTATATAAAAAAATACATATTTAAAATGTTTAATAACAGCCAGTTAGGTGTTTCCAAAGATGGTTCTGTTTCTTTTTAAACAAACGTCATTTTAATACTCTTCCTGTTACATGATCCCAGCATTCTGGGGGGCTGCCGCTTTGTTTTGAAGGCCAGTTATAGTGTTCAGCGTTCGGCTGGGAACACAAGTTAAAAAAAAAATATATATATTTAATATTTTTCAAATGGTTGTTTTTTTGTTCTTCCATATTTTTCAGGTTGCTGACTTTCCTGCATGTCAAAAATCAGCTTTCTAGATGTTCTCAGAGATTTATCTGATCTTTGACAGTTGAATCAAAGTTTTAGATTTCTTGTTTGTAACCTTTTTCCTTAAAAGAAATTTACAGCACTGACTTTGTAAACTAGAGAGCATTTGTGCATCGAATTAAAGACTCTGTCAAAAACCTTTTTGATTGGAAAATATTTCATTTTTATTTCTTTTAAGCATTTACAAGTAAGCATACAGCATTGTCTGAAGTGTAAAGATTGTGCATAATAGTTCAACCATGCTAGCCCTCATGACCGCTGTACATGATCATTGATAGCACTAATAAAGCAGCTCAATCTTTTTCTAAAACATGCTTAAAATTCTCATTCCTGCATTTAAATAAAAACAATAGTGGGCCTGTGGGACAAAATCCAGTCATCTTTGACAAGATTTCTCATCACAGTCTTCATTTTTCAGCTGAGATTTTACATAAATGATACCAATAAAACTTTAAAGCAAAATCCTCTGTTGATAAAAGTGGTTTGATCCGATACCAAAGGGCTTAACTGGAATGTTTTCTTACATTCGTCTATGCATCAAGTTTTTGAGGAACAAAACTGAAAGTTGACTACGAAAAATAGTTTAAAACAAAGTCGGAGCTTAATCTGCTTGATGGTTTAATCCACTGAAATTCATCTATTTGAATTAAAATGCATAAAAATCAAAATAAACTTATGAGTTGACTCTCTTTGGCTTTAAATCAGCCAGGTTAGTAAGATCAGTGGGTCAGGCCTAACATCCAAGTTTAGTTTCAGGTCAGAAGCCTGTCGATACACTATCAGGTTTTTAAATCGGCATGCCTGCAATGGTGAAAACTTATGGGAAAAGAAAAGTGAAAACCCTCATTGCTAAATTTATTATAAACCTGCAGACCTGGCAGTAGTTTGGATGATTCACTGTATGTTTTTATTCAGTTTCCTACTCGATCTGGAAAACTAAAATAATGGTTATTTTATTTTTTTAAGGTTTAAATGATAAAAGTGCTTATTTCCAAATTTTATTCCCTGTCAACTAATTTGAAAATATAGTCTATATTCATCCATCTTGTATCTCAGATCATCTGTTATTCTTATTTAATTTTAGTTTTCCCCTGTTTTAGAGTTAAACCTTCCTCTCTGTGAAAACGTCTTAAATATTTGTATATATACTTTGAAATTAGGATAAAAGTACAAAGATTTAAAAATGTTAACCTGTATTTTCCAGGCATTGAAAATAAAAGGAGGGAAATTATATAATAATATAAATTATAATTTGGTTTTGCATAAATTCATAGATAACAATTGTGATTCTTTACAAATTCACTTCATTTGAATTTTATTTGTAAAAGCTTACTTGATATAGGTAAAAAAAAAAAAAAAGGAAAGCATTTGTAATTTAAGACTTTATCCACTTAAAAGTTGTATTTTTAGCTGTAATTTCCTTTTTATTTGCAGGTCCAGAATATATAGCCTGATGACTATAAATATTTCTAACTTTTGGTTTAAGGTGGCAAATAATTCTGAAGTCTGGAATAAAACAAGATCTCAACAGTAACAGTATTGCAATCCTGCTTACTGATAATTACTTTTAACTTATTCCAAATACCTTTATATTTTTGGGATTTTTTAAATATTTTTTTTAGCTACACTCTGATTTGAGTTGTTACCCATAATTCACCCATCATACCGAGTCATGTTTGGTCTAAGATCTATTTAAAATCTATGTTTTTGGTGAAAAATCTGTCTTAAAAGAAAAACAACCCCAGAACGCTGAAAGGAAAGAAGTGCTACTAGTAGATGTCCTTAATATATTCATAAAACTATATATTAAATATGATCAATATTGGCAGGAAAGATTAAATATCTAAGTTTGTTTCAAGATGCTCTTAAAAAAAAGTCCTGTAGTAACTTATTTAAAAACTTAAAACCCAGGATTTTCCATAACAGTTATATCAGCAGATAAAAGGAGAGTATTTACAGTGGCAACAAGGATTAAGATATAAGATAAGACTGTATGAAGGTGACTAAAGAAAAAAAAGGGCTGTTTTAAAAAAAAAAAAGGGTTCCTTTAACACTTAAAGAGGACTCTGTGGATAAAAGTGGTAAATTGGTCTCTGCACTGCAAAAATGATTTAGAAATAAGTCAACTTTTCTTAAATTAAGTTTAATTACCCTTAATTTGAGCTGGTAAATAAGATGATTTGCCAATTGAATGAGTATTTCCACTCTTAAAATTAGACTATTAGATAATATGCACTTGAAATAATGCAATTATTTTTTCTTATTTTAAATGTTAATTGTCTTTTTCCATTGGCTAAGTTTAAAACTTACCTCCTCAATTCAAGAAAAAACACACTTATTTTAAGAAAAAATAGCTTGTTGAGATTTCAAAATTTTTCCAGTGTGTAAATAATACAGGGAAACGTTCAAATAAACGGCCTTAACCTTGAGTCATGTTAAGTTTTCTGTGAAGTGATTCACTGCTGAACATAGATAAGTTTACACACTATATTAATTATTTGGAAGGGCTTTCAATGTATTAAGTGTATTTACCCTTAATTTGAGCAGGTAAATAAGATGATTTGCCAATAAAATGAGTACTTTTACTTTTAAAATAAGACAATATAATTGTTTTTTCATATATTAAATGTAAATTGTCCAGGTGTCTCACTTACCTCAATTCAAGAAAAAATGCACTTATTTTAATAAAAATATCACTTGAGATTTAAATTTTTTGCAGTGCAGACTTCAAAATCAGTCTCTGGTCACTAGAGGGGCACGGTTTCAAACTTTTTGTACTTTTATTCAGAGCTCTGGTAAAGATGTAAGAGCTGGTCATAAAAGCCTGTCAATAAATTAGGGAACAAAGTCATAAAAATGCATTTAAAATAAAAAGCATTTCATAAAACGACATTTATATCCTAGTTTTCCTACATTTGGAGATAATTTCCCCAATAGCCTTATCCCACAAATTATCTCTAGAGAAGCTTTACATGATAAATAATATAATTAAAGTGTATTTACATTTCTGATACTTGCCTTTTCCTCTATTCCACAGACTCCTTTTAGTCGCCACAAACATTTAAATATTGAATGAAAGGTAAATATAATGCCACAGAAATGAGATACAGAGCCATACATTTTAGTCATGGAATACAATTATTGTTAAGGCAGTACTACTGAGTTTAAATCAGCCCTCAGATAAATCATGTATACACCTATCACGATACTTATCCTCATTAACATGGAATTCCAACATATGGTTATTTTAATAATTGAAAAAGTCTTGAAAGAAGCCCTTCTGGCTCGGCATCTGTTCAGAATGCCGTAAAGAAAACTCACAGTTCCCACCTTTGGGCCTGTTAAAAAATAGTTTTTCATGCTTGCCAAGAGAAATATATTTTTTTAACAGCGCTGAAAAAGGCTTTTTTTTTTAAGGGGATCACTGAAAAATGATCCGCAAGCTTTACTCCAGCAAACCGAACGTCCAGTTTGTTCATCTTTTACTCGCTGACAGTCCTTTTTCCAGAGAAACCGACTTCTTTAGCTTCTACTGAGAGACTGTTATTGCTGATTGAAGGAATCTCTCCTCAGACGTCCGTAGAGTCCAGCCCCATGTGTAGTTAATTAATTAGATGAATGAACTCCATAAGGAGGGGGGGGGGCTTCTGCTCCTCATGAGAACGATGTACAATCCATCACACCCAGAAAGAAAGACACCAGTAGGTAATAAAGGGCTCGTTCAGGGAGAGGAATGTTACGTTTCTGAAGTCTATAATAAAAAAAGATGAGGAGAATCACAGGCTAGTCCTAAACCAACTATGCTGTAAATATAAGTTAATGACTTCGAGTGATTTAGGTGACCGATCCCTCTAAAGCCGGCAGGCTGGACTGGAAATGGGTCTTTTTTTTTAAACCCAGGTTGAGTCTGGATTCCCTGAGGGGGGAAAACAAACGTACCGCAGCAAAGAGTCTCTGCATGTTGGTTTACTAAAAAAGCCCAAACTGATACCAAAACATCAAAAGTAGTAGTTAATCCCATGAAGGAAATAAGGGGTTAAAGAAGCTCATAGTACCACCCAGGAAAGTTAAATACTCATTTATCTGGTAATGGATCCTGGCTCTTTTTTGGATCAGCTTTGGTCCCTTGGGTTGGTTCTTCTGCAGGCTCCCCATAACCCTGACGATCAGGGGCCCATGTTCTATCAGCGAGCACAGACTCAGAGCTGAGCTCTTCCTGCAGTCTCTCTGCTCTCATAGAAAGCGAGGCTTAGCTCAGCCTCTTTCCTCCACCTCCTCTGGAGTCCCTGCAGCTTCACCTCCTCACCAGAAGCGGTGTTGAAGAAGAACAGAGTCCCTCGGTCCCAGCATCATTCTGACAACAGAAAGACTCAATAGGGGCTCGTTGTCTGCATGAAGTCTTTTGAGCAAAGAGAAGAGCTATTGGCAGTCACACCTCAATGATGTTAACAGATGGCAACCTGTTGTTGTTGTTGTTGTTTTTGGGGAACTGTGGGAGAAAAGAAGAAATGTGAAAACAGACAAGTAAACCACCACAAACTTTAATGAGCATGAGGATGCCTTTGAGAATTAGCTGTTTGCATCAGTTATTTTCTGCACAGATGGATATGATATGGAGCTCTGCATTGTTAAATGAACATACAAGTTTAATGCCACACCTAATATCAATATGCAGATCTGCTTAAAAAAAAAAAAAAACTGCCAATTTTTGTACACTGGAAAAAATCGAAATCTAGATAAATAATTTTTTCTTAAAGTTGTCATAGAATGATTCTATAGGGTATTTGGTGCTGGTCTTTAAGGTCGCTGAATAGGGTGTGTAACATTGGTTGGGCTGAAAATGGCATATTTGCTGTTTAATGAGCCCTAATGCAAGCCTGGTTAAAAGCCCTAGAATGAAATGACATTGTGCAGCTACAGTGCAGCATGTGAATCAGCTCAGGAGCTGGTCCGGGAACCCCGGCAAACTCTGACAGAGCAACTGAACCAGACCCAATGAGGGTAGCCTGGACACTGACAGCCCCATGCTTCTCCCCGCCTGCCGTACCAGCCCCCAGCCCCCCTTCTCTGGCTTAGGATGGGCAACTCATGGCTCTCTGCTGAGGCCCGGTTTGGTTGGGGGCCCTGCAGTCGGCACGTGATACCCCCCTCCCTATGGCCAGTGAACCAGTGGGCTGGTCTGTATGTCAATTTCGGGGTGTGACAAAAGTACAGACCAGAACTAAATAAGGCAACATCCCCAAGTTTACGTCAACTTGGTGCTTCGTTTGGATTCGTCTGTTTTATGGTGGAAGTTTAGAATTGTGAGATTTGCAGAGAAAGGAGGTGTCGATGGGGTTTCAACTTCTCTGTACGTTAATTTCACCCACTGAACTATCGTTATTTATCTATGACAATGGAAACTCTGTGTTGCATTCTATGACCGATTTAAAACAAGCGCGTTTGCTCTTGGATTAAGGAGGTAAAAGAGAATTTGTCAATTGAACAAGACAATTTACTCTTAAAATAAGAAAACACAATTATATTGTCTTATTTCAAGTGCATGTTATCTAATTATCCTAATTTAAGAGTAAAAGTACTTATTCCATTGGCAAACTATCTCATTTACCCACTCAAATTAAGGTTAAATACACTTAATTTAAGGAATTTTTACTTATTTCTAGATCGTTTTTCCAGTGTAGTAATAAGCAGGAGATCTGACCTTTTATGTAAATTTCCTGTCTTCTTCAAGTACCTTCCAAATATCCTTGACTGACCTGTTAGATTAGTCATAAAACCATCATATTGCACACCGTTTGTGTACTGAATCTTAAAGCATGTTCTGCCCCAGGGATCTCAATTGAAATTCTTGCAGTGTCTCAAAGTTGCTCTTGTATGAATTATCTTATTTGCCAATTTAGAAATAATGAACATCTAAAATGGAAATTGTTAACTTATGTTAACTCTCATGATAAAATTATCTTTCTTTGAAGAATATAATGAAAAAAACTAAACAGTTGAGTAAATTTTTCTTAGCTGTGTAGCACACAATGTCTGGCTTCTGATTGGTTGAGCAGCACCTCATGATGACTCCGTCAGCCCAGAGGAAGCTGAGGTCTTAGACTCCATCAGGAAACACAACATATTCTTATCTTCAGGTTACACAGAGTATATGTCAGAGTAAATAATACTACTTATACTTCAGCGATAGTATCTAGGTGTTACTTTATTGTATGTCTCGTACCATTTCTGTTGGTTGTGCTTTTCTTTTTACATCTCTTTGCAGGTGATGAAGCAGACTGAAAATGTTTTATCATTATCTCACTTTTATCTCCTCTTTCTTTCATCTTTTCTCCTTTTTTTCTGTTTTCATTTCCTGTTCTACTTACATTGCAGTGTCCATATAATCTATAAAACTCACTGCATAAATATAATAAAGCAATTTATATGCATAAAACAAGCGGAACAATATGGAGATAGCCGTACTGCTCCACTTGTGAAAGTAAAATCTGTTGGGCTCTTTTTGGCATCAAGACAATTATTCTTATTGCCACATTGCCAGACAGGACACTGTAAAAAAAAGAAAAAAAGGAAACACAACATGAACTAAACCCAGAAAAAACAGTCTTGTGTAGTTGAACCCAAAATAGTCACCCTGCTCTGATATGCTCTATATTTTTTTGTGCTGCAGACTTTGCTACATTCCTCTTATGGTGGTCCATATTTTCGTTTTTTCTAATCATCTAATTCTTAATCAATCAGTATAATTGGAATTGTAGATTTATTCATTTTTACCTGATAAATCCTTGTTCAACCTCAGTGTGATAAATAAGATTATTTCTTGATCTTATACTGTTTTTTTCTGGATTTATAGAGCACACTTCACTATACAGAAGCAGCCATTCCAAATGGTCCTTCCCAGTCAAACATGAGCCGAATCGCAGCCGACTCCCCTGCAACTACCAGAAAAAACCCTCCATGAAGCCGACATATTTTTTTACTCCAACTCCACCCTTTCACTGAATTACAACGTCTGACCAGAAGATGATGCTTCTCTTTAGATCTTAATGTCTACAAATCATGACAGAAAGAATATTTTAGTACAAAGATTGATGTTTAAAAAAGGAATTGTAGGGGACCAACCAGGGCTTGTAAGGGGCACCCAAAAATAAAAATAAATAAATCTAATACTGAACTAAATTGTCTCCAACAAAACCTGCAGGGAGTGCTCTATGTCACCCCCTAGAGGAGGGACAAAGAAGAATGCTAGCTCCCGTTACCTTGTTGGCCCACATCAGTTGGAACTAATGTCTCTTCATTGGTTCAACAGTTTTTATGCAGCAAATAAATAACAAAATGTGTTAAAATCGGGACGTTTGTTCTCCATCGTGCCTGCTGCTAGCATGTGCAAAATGAAAGTTCCCCCCTTCTTATTTGATTTCCAACTTAGACTTCTATCTGTGGTGCTAAATCCACAGAAAAGCTGCATCTTTGTATAAGCTGCATGTTTGAAAGCGTGGGGACAAAAGTTGCTTTTTAGTCCGGAATATACGGTACTTTTTAAAAAATGGGTTTTCCTTTAATCCTTAAATAATAAATGAGTTTTATTTATATTTAAAGGGGTCATAGAATGATTCTATAGGCTATTTGGTGCTGGTCCTGAAGGTCTCTGAATAGGGTGTGCAACATTGGCTGGGCTGAAAATGACATATTTGCTGTTCTATGAGCCTTAATTCAAGCCTGGTAATAGCCCTAGAATGAAACGACAGGTTTTCTTCCTTTTAGGGGATGCTCATGAATATTTAGATGAGCTGTGCGCTGGTTGGTGCTGCTGAGCGCAGACAGATCATAGCAACAAGCACTCACTCACTGAAACATCAAATTGTTGATATGGTAGGGTGACCAGACGTCCTCTTTTTCCCGGACATGTCCTACTTTTCATCCCTAAAAATATCGGCCGGGATTTCGGTCGACCACAGTGCAGTAGTTGAAACACAACGGCCATTTGAACCGAGCCGTTAGCTCCGGGGCTGGTCCGGGAACCCCGGCAGAGCGGGGCTGGGAGCCAGCGGGGAATGGAGCATCCGAACCCGACCCGGTGACGGTAGCCTGGACACCGGCGGCCCCGTGCTTCTCCCCGCCTGCCCAGTTGTGTTCGGTTGCTCCGTCTCCTGCTGCCTCCCTGCTCCCATCCGCCGTTCGAATGCCCGGTTAAATCAGCAGAAGTTTAGAATTGTGAGATTTGCAGAGAAAGGAGGTGTCGATGGGGTTTAAACTTCTCTATACGTCAATTTCACCCACTGAACTATCGTTATTCATCTATGAAAATGGAAACTCGGTTTTTGCATTCTATGACCCCGATTTATATATATAAAATTATTCCCCAAAAAGATTTTGTAAATCATGAAAAGTATTTACATTCATGATTACATTGAATGTTAATGACTAACAGTTCCCGATCCATCTTTAAAGATTTTAGTTTCCCTTTGGTGTGTTCAACGCTAAATAAAGTTAAGAAAAAAATCTGACTTTGGAGAAAATGTTAAAGTATGAGAGACCATGACTTGATTCGTGTCGATGCAGAATGCTCCAGTCATGCACATAATATCACCATGTTGATGGACAATGGTGAAGATAGTCTAGAAGTGGCCGGGACCATTCACCTGGCCAGCGTCGCTGAGAAGGGAGGCACCCGGGGAGAGGAGGAGGAGGACAAGGAGCAGAGGGGTGGGTTATACCTTACTGCGCAGCAGCCCCCCCGTCGGGTGTTCAGGAGTGCTGCACTCCGAGGAGTTTTTGGCTTTGTCCTTGTTGTTGTTGGGCTCGTTGTCTTTGATTATGTCATACTGGCGACAGAAAAGGGCAATCACACCTAGAGGGAGGAATCGGCAGAGCTTTTAATATGTGTCCAAAATTAATTGTGGGGATAATAAGAAGGCTGTTCTCACCTGCCCACATGATGAGTACTACCACAATGATAATGAGCTCTCCAGCCCTCAGCTGGGTCGCCTGACCCACCTCCTCCATGGTCACTTCGTCTGAAAAAGTCAAGAGGGAAAAGCTGATCTGCTATATATATATACATATATATGTACACACAGTGATTTCTAATGAATAATTTTAATAACACAAAACATCTTTGATGAAACAGCTAATTTGACCCTGGAACTAAGAAGTCTAAACAGTTCTTTTATTATTTACATATAAATTAATATTTTTCCATATCTCCTTGATGTAAAGTTTGATCAAGCATACACACCATGGCCTGCCTTCATTGCTTTCTCTACACATCTGGCTCCATCATAAAAAAGTCGAAACAAAAGTGATGCTGATAAAAAAAATGGTTATTTATTTACTGATCATCTGCATATGCTATGACCTCTGCTGGTCAGGTGTGTGTTAATGAAATACCAGGGACAAAAGACTTGTGTAATGATATTAGTAAAGCAACCACTGTGTTTTGATGCTGTTTAAAAAAAGGACCATTACGGAACCCCAGAACTGACATGGGAAAAATACACAGTTACAGCGTGCGCACGAAATACTAATTTGCTACCTAGAAATCTTAATATGTTCCCCCAAAATGCTAATTTGTTCCCAAAAAATATTAATTTTCCCACAAAATCCAAATTTATTCCCACAATATAATAATTTGTTCTCTCAAAATACTAGTTTGTTACCACAAAATGATAATTTGTTCCCACAAAACATTAATTTATTCCCAAAAAATAATTTTCTGTTTAGCTTCTTTATTTATTTATCTTTTTAATAATTACTTTATGTATATATAAAAACTTAAATAAGTGATTAATATATGAAGTTGAGGATTATAACGGACAATAAATAACAAAGGTGAATAAATAAAGCTAATTAAAAGACATATATACATTTATGTCTCACTGTATAATTTAATTTCTACCTACATTTATTTGTTTATTGTATTTTTGGGGACAATTAATTGTATGCTTATTTATTTATTGAGCATTCATTTATTTCTGTATTTATTTTTAATTATGGTAGAGCTGGTCCTCCATATTCTCCAGGGTACCTGAATGAAATGACTGCATGACTGCCTCAGCCGCCACCAAGGACTGCAGAGGGCTGTTTATCACCCTTTTATATATGGCTGGTGTTTGTGGCGGCAAGGAAACACCTAAATATGCAGAAAAGTGGATCCGTCGTCAGAGGTGAAGATAACTTCTATGAAAAAGATGTTTTTGTTCACATTATTTCAACTTTATAGAGGAGGGATTTGATATAAATAAACTAAAACACAAAAGTTAGGTTTAGATTATTAGTGTAGAAAAGTTACAGCCACTTTCATTGAGCCTGCAGCTCCTCATAAACTATTCAAAGAGGTTATTTCTTGTCTGCAATCTCATGTTCTCTGCAGGAGAGTTTTCTTTCCACAGCTTCAGAAACTGCCAGCTGGGGTTTCAATTGCATGCTTTTTTCAGTTAGTATTCTTACTAAAGAGCAGTTTTGAAAATCTTTGCATAATATGTTATCTTAATTTCTGAGATGTGCATATCTTATTGCATAGGCATTTTTTTTAATAAGGGATCCTTTGCTACATCTCCTAGTTTTTGCATTCAGATATTTATCTCTATAGAGATAGACGGTTGAAAGAGGCAGGTTTGAAACAAACAGGATTTTTTTACTAATATGCCACTCCCACATGAATGCATAGGGGAAAAAAAGACTGTTGCGATCAATTGTCTGCAGATATGAGTTAAAGTGTTGCTGTGTGACCTGATGTTTAGAGCAACAGAGAGAGCTTTCCATCCCTTTAAGCGACAGCAGTGGGTGACATTTGGAAAGCCCAGTGAGCAGGATCCCCACGCTCCACTGGCTTTTAGCAACAAGCAATTCTGCCAATCGATTGGACTCTGCTGCGTTCTATTAAAAAAAAAATCAAAGCATACCAGCCCAGGGCGCATGATGTTTTCTGCTCGCCTGCCATACTGGGCTGACCCGTCACCTGGAACGCTTGACTGGTCTTTTTATTAAATCCTGAATGACAATAAACGTGTTTTTCAAAAAAAAAAGATAGCTTTGCAGTTGTAGAGACAAGTATTAGTTTTAAGGTCACATTATGCTTAAATTGTAACCAGTTAAAGGTTCTTTATCGTGCTTTTTTAATGCTTCCAAAGCCCACTATAGGTATACATACGATGAAATATTGTTTCAGGCATTACAGTGTCAAAATTTTTATATTAATTATTAGTTATTTTCTGGTGGTATTTTACGTTGCTGTATCATCCAGCTTCTGGTGATTAGGGTCCTTATTTTGGCCATTCATCTTCACTCTGAGCAGAAGTTATCTGCTTCATATCCCAACTTGTGATTGGACAAAGAAAGTGGACATGCAGTCTAATGGACATACATGACAGGATTGAGGTGGGGCATTTAGAAGACAGTGGTTGATCTGTTTTAACTGGATGCGCATCAATTAAAAAACGCCACCATGGGCATGACTTTGATGAACAGTAAAAGCCTTTCAAAATGTCCCCACTTTCCTTGATGGCCCTTGGTTGGTCCCCTACAATTCCTTTTTAAACATCATTCTTTGTACTAAAATATTCTTTCTGTCATGATTTCTGGACATTAATATCAAAAGTGAAGCATCATCTCCTGATCAGACCCTGTAATTGAGTGAAAGGGTGGAAACAATGAGGGGATTTTTGCTGGGAGCTACAGGGAAGTTGGCTGCTATTCGGCTGGCGTTTGACTGGGGAGGGCCATTTTGAATGGCTGCCACTGTAGTTAGAAGCTTATAATAAAGGTTGATTTTGGATGATGTAGGCTCTTTTTTTGTGATAGTGAAACAAAGTAGTTTAATTTGCAGTGAATCTTCTCTGCCCTAAATATCAGTGTCTGTACCTGAACTTGGATAGATGTGAAATCTTAGTTTCATACTTGGCCATTAAATGAATGTGATGCCTGGATTTACAGAGTGAAGTTGAGGAGCAACTGAGACTCTTGCAAGAGAATATTCAGATTTATTTAACGTTCTCAGACGGAAAGATAGAGCTCTGACTGGGGCAAGCTCAGTACATACATTTATACAACAACTCAACGATACACACACTTTTGGAACTATCCCACCCCTACATAAAGAACTTTCTCACACATGAACATTTGGAGGAAAAACAACTTGAGTTCATCAAGGCCATTCCCTGTGAGGTTAATATATCTTTCACTGGCCAGATGGATCTCCTCAAAACAAGTCCCCCCATTCATGCCATGAAGGAGGCTGTTTAACTCATTATTATCTCTCACGACCTTCGTCTGGAGCCTGTGAGGCTAAGAACAGACATATCTTAACATTTTTTACTCCACCTACAGCCACACAGATGATGTAACAAACACAATTTATGTCATTTAGTTTTTGTCAGTAACAGAGCAATCTCATTATTTAGAATTTATTCATCACTACTGATGTTATGAGGCTTTGAGGCGTATGTCGAGTAATGGAGGGGGCGTTTCCTCAAAGCGTGTGTCGAGGCGTAATTCATTTAGGGGAGGGGCCAAAACGGATGACATACGAAGCCATCGCTACATTTGATACCACGTGACCGCTTCGGGAAATGGTTCAGAAAGCAGAAGAACTTCGACAGGCATTTAAACAGCCTCACTGCACAGTCAAGATGTGGGAGTTTGTAGGAGAGTTGCTGTCAGTTGGATAGAGTTTGGATAAATTCTAAGAATAGATTGGTTGGAAAAACAACCAATCTAGCTGGTTAAACCATTTTGGTTAGATTAAATAATGTAATGATTAAAATCTGAGCAGGCTGCTGAGCACAGCTGATACTTTAGTATTAAGTACTATTGATTTCTATTGATAAATTTTCAATGTTGGTGGCATCAGCTGTAAGATGTTGACTTTTACTCCTGAGGTTGATGGTTCAAGACTCACTTTAAACTTTTGAAAGTTGCATATATATTTAATATTTTAAGAATTTTGGCTAATGTGACTAATTTGTATTGGTTTGCCCTATAAAAAATATAGATTCAGTAAAAACTTAGCCAAAAGATTGCTTGAACAAATAACTTCCAACCCAATTAAACCCAAAAACCGTGGAAAAACTATAATGTTTCAATAGAAATGATTAACACCATCCATTTTACTCCTCATTGCCCAATTTGCACAAACACTTTCACTGTCTGCTTGAGCTTATTTCACTAAAATGGCAGAAAAACTGTGAACCTTAAATGATTGTTCTCTCCTAAGATATTTTACACAAAAAAACGTACAAAATATTTTATTATACACACCAACCATTAACAATCTCAAAGGAACTTAAATGGGGAAAAAAAGAAAAACAATTACAAAAAAAAAACACATATTTTATTACAAACTGTAGTTCTGCACTTCACCAGTAGGTGGTGACATGTTCACATGAAGCTTCATGAACTGTTGGGATTGTTGAAGCAATTTGGCCAAACGGTCCAATGCCTCATGAAGCTTCATCTCACCATCACTATTTATCACCATTACACTGTATTTGAAAAAATGAGTGCAAACTCTTTAGTTTACCCTGTTTTTTTTTTTTTTTATGATTGTGTTTGGTGTTTTGTATGATTGTGGTGGTCACAGTGCTGAGTTGATTTGGACCGTACTATATCAATGCAATGGGGGGGAAAAAGGGTGTTACACAGAGTAGAGAAAAGTATGTATATTTTGCCCCCTATGTGTTTCTTTTGTGGACTGATCAGCCACTATTTAAGTTTCCCTGTGTCTCATTAGTGGAGGTCAGTTTGTTTGAGTTCATCTTGTTCTGTTACAGATATTTTGAGTAGTTTGGCTTCCTTTAAACTCTTTTCTGGATCAATTTTTGTAATTTTTATATTTTATGTTGTTTTAATAATAATAATAATAATAATAAATTATTTTATTATTATTCTAAATTAGTTCTCGTTATTTTAGATGAGAACTAATTTAGCATGAACATGTATAATACATTTTTATTATTCATAGAGCTGTGATGTGAAAGTTTGTTAAAGTAGGTGATTTATAAAATGAAAAAGACAAATG